ATTATTCCGTTTGACATATCTTGGTCGAGAGTATCAAATATTGACCCTTTAATCTGTACAATTTAAAAATCGTATCACTTTCTAACCCTGGATAAAGTTTAGCACTATTGATTTCATGTATCCGATTGTTATTATTATTTTAATATTTTCCATCACCTTTTAATACATAATAACAAAAAATTAAAAATGTGCATGGAATGTCTAAGAAACAATGACAAAAAAACAAAGATGCATTGAAATGTGCATGAAAATGTGATAACAAAGAGTAAAAGTCACGGTTTAAGTAACAATAATTAAATAATAATTAAATGACAATCACTAAGAAACAAAAAAAATGCATGTAATGCATGCATGGTAATTGGTAATTGCAGTAAGTCACGGCTCCCCCTTTGTATTTTTTTTTTATTTTTTTTTGTTGTTTAACTTCCTTAATTATAACTTGTTTTAGTTCCACCATTTTACTTTGTTAATAACGTACTACTATCCCATTTTTTGAACCTCCCCTTTCTCAATTAACCACTTAGCCTCCGGACCATCCTTAATTGCTGCTATTTTGTTACGCCATCTACGAGCAATGGTGCTTAAGTGAAAAAAGGTAGTATTACGGTCACCATCCTTATCCACTCGACTCTCAATTTCTGGTTCCATAAGAGCTCCTCTTGAGCAAGCACCTCATCAAGTTCCTTTCTCAACTTCGATTCTAATTTAATCAAGTCCCCCGCTTTTTGAAAGGCAAGGGCACGCTACACACCTGCTGTTCGAGCTAAGAGGTTGCGTTTTTTCTTGAAAATATTGTGAAAAGTGGTTTTGTTCCAATCTTGTAATTCTTCTGCTAATTTATGTAAGTGAGGCATCAAGGGAGCTTCCTTATCCCACTTACTCTCTACAATATCGCAAAAATTGTCGTGAGTCATCCAAGCAGCTTGGAAGCGGAAAGGCCGGTTAATCTCTGAAATCGGAGCAAAGCCATTAAGGGCAAGACAGGGCAATGATCTGATTGAACCGCAGGTAGGTGCTTAACATCAGCATTTGGAAACCTCAAACTCCATTCACCGTTACAAAGTGCACGATCAAGTCTCACACTCTGCCAAGTTTGTACAATCGTACCTCTAGATCACATATGAGAGGCACCAGAGAACTCAATCTCAAGCAAGCCCACATCTTCCACCCACTCATTGAAACGAGCAGCTCTTCGAGAAGTCTCCGCACAGCTGGAACTTCTTTCCCACTAATATCAGGTATCATTAAAATCCCCTGCTAATAACCAAGGGAGGTTATTAGAATTAGCATGATCCTTTAATTCTCTCCAAAGTTCCTGCCTCTTTGTGGGATCCGGGCTACCATACACCACCGTGAAATACCATGGTATACCATCAACCCTCTTAATTTCCATAGTGATGAATTGATTATGCTTAGGGATTGGTTCAACTGTGACTAACTCTCTCCGCCAATACACCCATATGCCACTGTAGGCGTCGTTTGAAGTGCGCCTACGTTAAAGCATGTATGAATATGCTTGGCACTCATAGGAAGTGGGAATTGACATACGATTAGGGACAACGATTAGGGACAAGGAAAGTAGGGAGCCGCCAACAAGTTTTTAAGGAACTTGTAAACCGTTCACGGATCATTTAAGGCAACCACGATTAAGGGACAACGAAAGGCAACAACGATTGACCCGTGAAGGTTACACCCCATTCATAATCCATGAGATTACTAACTCCATATGGTTCGAAACCACGAAAAGAGGATCGGGGATGATGGTACGAAGTGAGTCATGGAGTCACATTCGCCGTATTGGCCTCTACTCGATTCTTATTGTGAAAAGCATTCCCGCGATCTCAAAGGCATGAAAACAAAAATTCAATTTGCTTCAAACTATTATTAAGCTAAATAGGTTGAATATTAATGCAACAGATAATTCTATAATATTGTGATCACTTGATTAAATAACAAGATTAAATAGGATCCTAAACCGATTGTCCAAATTATCTTATTAAGCGTGATTTTCAATTACATATTCCCTTTAAACATGCAATATGGTGATCAATATAATAGAAATCAACATTAATATTAGAAACAATTCAACAATAATAGCGTTAGTAAAATCAAATAATAATAATAATCATGATAATAGCAACAAGAATAATAATAAGAGTAACGAAGTGATTAATTACTCACTTTCCGCATTTCCTTGAATTGCTACATCATGAATAAACTGTTAGTAACTTCAATAAAAAAAATCAAATAAAATTTAAATTAAATAAAAAGTTGAGTTGATTTGGTCCAAACCCTCAGTTAATTATACCTTCCACGCCTTGGTTTAATTATAGAACTTCGGGTGTTGTATGGACTCCTTGGAGTGCTTAAAGGATGTATTATAAGAGAATAGGGTGGCTAGAGTTTAGGCTAGAGCAAGAGAGAGAGGAGAGAATGATTTTTGGTGTAGGGAGAGAGAACGATTTTTGGTGTAGAAGAGAGGAAGAGAGAATGATTTGGTGATCAAGCTTGTTGGTGATTGAAAAAGGGGTGATATGAGCTCTATTTAGAGGGAAAAAAGAGGGGTCGAAGAATTACGATAAGATCCGAATGAAATCGGAATAAAACTCGATAGACAGCAATTTTTACGGTTTTTGTTTTTATCATATCTTTTGATCAAGAAATCGGAATAAGATAAATAAGATATCTTAGAAAGCTCTTGAAGTCTAAATTTTTAACCCAATCGGAATCAGATTAAAATATACTGTAGAACAAAAGATATGGCCGAAATAGTGGGATGGTGTCAGTTTAGGATAGAGTTTCGTATTTCGCTCATATCTTTTTCGTTATAACTCGGAATTAATATTATAATATATCATTGGAAAGATAATTTCAAGAGCTATCCAACCATATAAGAATTAGATAAAAACTATGGAGCACGAAAATAATATCTGACAATCTTTGAACGTCTTTCAATTCGAATAGAATTAGGACTTTTAAAAAGAAAAGTTTTATTCAATTTCAAATGCTTTAATCTTATCTTTTCAAAAAGGATAATTAAAATATTTAAGAAACTTATAGAAGCTTCTAATTAATCCTAATTGGATTAGGAATGAGATTAAATCCTTTGGACCCTCCACATGATCATTGGGTCGTAGGTAACGTGGGCTTAGGTTCGGTTTGGATTCAGTTTAGTATTTTGGCCATAACTTATTCGTTATAACACGGATTTGGGCTTATAATATATCGTTGGAAAGTTATTTTAAAGCCCCATCCAAATATTTAATAATTGGACCCATATTATAGACCTAAATAAATTGGTATAAACGTTTTATAAGAAGGACACGAAATGAATGATTTTTATGGACACGAAATGAATTATTTTGGGTTTAAAGGCACGAAAAAAAGGAAAATAAGTTATGGTTTGGTGAAATGGGCTAGGAATTGGATTGTTTTATGAAATGTATTGGGAATGAACATGGATTTAAGCACTCTAAAGATTACATACTCAACCCAACCAATAATGGCAGTGAAAGGTTGTTCATCATCGGGTTTGGTTTTGGGGAGACATTTTTAGGTGTCTACAGCCACCACTGAAACCTTGAGCATCGACCCTTATATGGCCATTATACCCAATCACATTCGCAATTCTTTCCGCTTGAGCACCCCCCATGTGAGTTTCAACAAGCGCCACTACATTAGGTTTATGCACCCTAATGATTTCTTTTAAAGCCAAAATAAATTCACGACTTCTTGCTCCTTGTACGTTCCAAACCATACAAGAAATTGGCAGAGAATTAGAGGCTAGATTTGCAAGGTTTGCATTCATTGTATCAATTGAGAAATTGGGGTTACTCAAATAAGCTTCTTCCATTAATCGAATTAATCGATTAATGTCAACTGGAATTTGGAGATAGACCACCAGTTATGGTGGCTCTAGCATCGGTTCCACCCAAGTTTCCATCCGGACCTCCACCACATGTGTCAGGGGGTCTGCTATGGTCAAGAAGGGGTTGTCCATTGGTTGCCCCACAAAAAGAGTTTTCTCCGGTGGGATTTTGAGTGAGATCACCTCCTGCTGTAAATCTCCATACTCTTGTAAGCTTTTTATTTCCTCTGTTTCGATCACTATAGTATCCTCCTGGGTGACTTCTTTGTTTGACTCTTCTATAGGCTACTCTACTCCAAAAAAGAAGTTCTCTTTTCTAGGAAAAATATTATTACTTTTTGTTTCTTTTGTGACTAGAATTGGAATTTCATTCTCAATAGGCTTCAAGGGATTTATTTTTTGGTAAGCGATTTTTTGTGAATTAGATTTTCCATTCACATTGCCTTTTTTTTTATTCAAGGAATTATTAACCCCTGCCTTATTCACTCCCACTTGGAAATTAATATCCTTAGCATTATTTTGAGAATTTTCCCCAAGATTTACCATAGGAATAATCTCATTATTTTTGGAAAAATATTGAGATGAAAATATCTCCATATCTTTTGTATGTATATCTTCCAAATTAATATCTTTCTGTTGCTCATCTTGTGCCTCACTCTCCCCATTTAGTGCCTCAAATCTCGACCCTAAAGATTTTTGAAGATTCTGTTTTGAAATTTGTTTTGGCGCCCCTGCCTTCTCATGATTTTTTGTAGCCTGACCACCACCTTCTTTGGTGGTTTCCGGTGGTGGTTTATCAGTCTTTGGAGTTCTCTTCCTCACCAGCTTCTTAACCAACATCCATGATCCAAAGACATGTTCCTCCTCTGGTCTTGGACCTTTATCAATCACCTTTGCAATTCCAGGTTCATGATTAGTAGCAATCACATTATTAACTTGATAAATTACTGTATCTTCATTCATATGTGTAGATTCGCACTGATCTTCCACATGCCCCAACATACCACATTTGTGGCAAATTAACTTGATACCCTCATACTGAATTCTCCAAATTTTTCCTTTTAGCCAAAACTTTGATAGCAAGGGTTTTGATAGATCGATCTCCACACTCAGCCTTGTGAATTGCCCTCGTTCAGCATAATGCAGTAGATTTATCCACCCTAATAACCTTACCAATCTTGGCACCAATTTTCTTGAGTAACTCTTTATCAAAGTATTCAACAGACAAGTTCAGTGTCCGGACCCAAGCTGTCAAGACTTTAATGGAAGCTTCTTCTGGTATGAAATTAGGAGTCCATTTACGAATGGTTAAATACTTATCATCAATCAACCAGGGACCTTGAGTTAACACAAAGTTATAATCCTCTTGATTATTGAACCTAGCAATGAAGTATTTGCACCCAATGTCTGTAAGAGACATTTCTCCCTTCAATTGCCATTTTCTTTTTAATCTCTTCATTAATCCGATGTACCCCAGACTACCATCAAACATACGAATGATGAGGATATTTCTCCAGGGGCGACGCATAGCCTTCTTCTCTTCTTTTGTGAGTAAAATGACAGGGCACCTATCATTTCCCACAAAGTCTTCCAGTGGCTCATCATCGTCCAAAACAACATCTTCATCATTAGACAGCTGAATGTTATTAGCAGCCATTGCTTCCAATTGAGTATCCCTCAACATGTCTCTAAAAGATCTTTGATATTTGTCTACCATGGTTGCAGCCTTTCCATGGTTATTTGGATCTCCTTGCATCCCCAAACCTGGTTGTTGGGTTCCCAAATCAATCTCCATATCAGGGTTTCCTTCATTCTCATTCCTATTGAAAATTTCATGGGTGATTTTTCGTTTTGTCTTTTTGTTGGAATGAGCCACCTGGTCAGAGGCCTCCGGTGGGATGAGTGGTGGGAATTGGGAAGGCTTTTGCACAGAATTCATTCGAGAGAAATTTTTTTAACAACTAGCTATAATATTCAAATATATTTTGTTTATCATGCATGGTAATTGGTAATTGCAGTAAGTCACGGCTCCCCCTTTGTATTTTTTTTGTTGTTTAACATCCTTAATTATAACTTGTTTTAGTTCCACCATTTTACTTTGTTAATAATGTACTACTATTTCATTTTTCATCTTCTTCCTTCCTTTCAAATCCTCACCAAAACACCATTACAGCTATACCTTCATGACTTACTTCTTTTCTCTGTTTCATACACTCAGAAATAACAAGTGTAAGTATGCATGCTATTTCTCTTCCTAGTTATTGCAATGACGATAATGTTTAACAGTGAAAGAGTGGCTCTAAGCAAAGATACCTCTGCCATTACCATTCATTTGAAATGTCAAATCCCTACAAGAAAAAGAAAAAGAAAATGGTAAGCCATGGTTGTAATTTAGCAACAAAAATCAGAAAATAGTGTGATATGACAATACGTTGTATCACTGAGCTGTGCTTATTCCCAAACAGTAAGGTGATATGACTACCCACAATCAATGGCAATCAACATTTTTCTCCTTGTTATTTTCTGATAATTGGGTTTTGTAATAGTGTGATTTTGTTAATGGTAAGTCTGAAATACGAAGAGTAAGTACAAGGAAATACACTCTTCAAAGAAAAGTAGTACCAATTAACAATTGTATTAAAATTATGTTAGTACTTTTTTAGTCATTAATAATATTGTCATTTGTTCAGTCAAATTAATTAAGTTTTGCATGAAGTAGTAGGCTAATTCTATTTCATCAACCTCATTAAGACGAATTTTGGTTACAATTTCTACCTAACTCTTGTAATCGTACGTATTTATTTCGTATAATAGTATAATCTTTGTATTTTAGCTCCCATTTGCTCCCATATATATGTACACCCCACTCTTCACGAGAAGGGAAAGAGAAAAAGAGATCGAAGAGAGCGGCTAAAAAAAAAACTCATAAAAGAAGTCTAAATTATTTAGATATAAAAAAAAAAGTTAAAATTTTTATTTTAAGTTAAAAAAAAAAGATTGTAGAAAGACTTGGCCTCAAATTAAATCAATCATTTTGACACTACTTTTACTAATTCCTCGAGATAGCTACTCAAAGTCAAAGGTAATATTTTCTTTCTTTTTATTTGTGATTTCGTATTATTTTTCACATACATTTACTAACTTTTCTACTTTTGTGTGTTCCATAACCTCATAGGGCACTATACGTGCCGGTTTCCTAATTTGGAAACCAAGTGAATTTGACCAACCGCGAGTGAGTTTGAGAGTGAGTATACATGATTTGTTTGATTTTTTTCCTTGTATGTATCATAATTATAATGATAATTGTACAAAATGCATAAGGAAGCTCTAAAGAATGAATGATAGAATTCTAGCAAAATACCATTTTTGACCACTTTATTTTTTATTATGTAAAAAACCGTTTTTAATAATAAAATTAAGAAATAAAATTTTCACAGTAAGCTTATGTATTTAGGAGTGTATGAGACTTGGAATTTTATAAAAATAAATTTTAACCAACCCACAAAAAATCAAACATTAAGGCTTAGTAACACCACAAATTTCTTACTACAGGTCTGTCCATTTTCCAATTTCGACCAATATCCTTTTTTAATAATAAAATTAAATTGACTACCTAGAAAGTAGATTCCTTAAGCTTTGTAAATTCGGGTCACACGTTCTCATAGGATAAATACTCTATTTTTTTATGATTTTTACAAAACAAGGTATTAAAATGTTAAACTGATTTTAGGCTGTTTTTCCCAACCAAGAATATTTTTTTTATTTGGCATATCAAATGACTTCTAAAAAGGGAGAATTGTCTACAGAGCATCTACATGTTTGTCCTTAACATACCATTAAAAGGATCATACCAATTTCGAAGTACTTTGACCATTATCACCCAATTCCCCATGAACGTCCCAAACTGGAGTGATTTTAAAGAAAATTCATTACCTTTTAATTCAACTGTTGGATGAATCCCAATTGTTGATATGTTATAGAAGACTTGTAAACCTTTGCAAAGACCTATCATAACTCAAATCCGACCATTATAACATGAGTTATGGTATCCGAAATATTAGAGAAATTTTAAACCCTTAAGAAGTTTAAGGAAGAAAAGAATTAACATCATTATATAATTTGTGTCACCCTATATACCTCAGGTACTTTTTTCTTAGAGTATTTTAAATTAAGGAAGGTAAAAATTACTCATGTCTCAAGTTAATATTAATCCAAAAAAAAAAGACACATATGTATCCCTTTAAGACTAACACTTTTTTTTTTTAAAAAAGTCTTCTTTATCCTATGGCTATATGAAAGGAGCATTATAAATAATTTATTTATTTTAGAATAGAATATCTTATAATTTTTAAAGAAATCTTGTTTAAGTTTTAATTCCATCACCGTTCGGAAGAGCAAAATTTCCTTATGCATTTCTTAATAAAGAGACAACTAAATTTTAATTAAGTGAAATATGGCTTTGCATGCTTGTATCATTTTATTAATAAAATAAATCTTTCGAGTTATGGTTTATGGCTTATATTTAAATAAGAGGGTAAAATTGAATATTCAATCATGATAGGTTATAAGATGATCTATTTGCCGCAGAGAATTATACTTTTAAAGTTTTATTATCTCTGATAGATCGCTTACGTAATCTAACATGATTAAGGTTTTCAATTCATTACCTATCATTTAGATTTAAGCCATATGGAATGTCCATTTTGCATAAGTTAATTTCATACAATCCAAATACGTTTCCTTTGTATTCTTCTCGATTCATATCAAATAAAATGCCCTTTTTAGCACACTCAATTAAGCCCATACAATCTCTTTTTGGAAGTTGATCAACCCTAAATAAAGCCGTTAATTGAAACCATTTTACAAACAAAAAATCATTCTCCTCAAAGAAACTCCTATGGTGTTGCTGATTCTAGTGACTTCCTCAACCTTGACAAATTGACCTCTATCTTGAAAGCAAGATTTCTTAGCCTCATTCAAATGACCCTACACGAATCGACCACCCCTCCCCCCCCCCTAAAAAAAAGAATCTTCTTGAAACCTCATATGAAATTTTTGACCATCTATAAATGGACGTTCGTAAGAACTGCGTAGGGTTTTGATTTGGGAGTGGATTTAAATCCCACAATGAACGGTACGTAGGGCAACTTTAATGCTCAAACCCACCATACATCGTAAGGTTTAATTCATTTTTATTTTACATTTGAGTGTGTTGACAATGTGGAAACTTTCGTGTTTTTATGCATTAGTTTAAGAAAAAGTATGTGAATAACTATAACCAATTAACAACGTACCAGTAAGAGCATGTTCGTTAGAACAGAGGAAGAGACGAGTTCCAAACATTCGATCTTCCTAACTTATACCCCGTACCTAGATCTCTAATTTTCCTAAGACCGTACTTATATAGTGCCTCAACTAATGGAGTCAATGTCGTTTTCTATTTGAAAATAATCATAAATAAAAAGACCATCTGTAGGGAATATTTCAAGCATTATCCCAAACTTGAACCCCACTGTGATCATACACTTAAGCATGGTGGCGTCCAAAGGGAAATAAACGAGAGCAAATGAGTCGCCAACAAGTTTTAGGAACTTGTAAACCGTTCACAGGGTGAAGGTTACACCCCTTAACGATCCATGAGATCGTCAACTCCAATAGTTTGGAACCATAACTAGTATTCGGGGATGAGTGTACGAATCCAATCTAAAAGAGAAAGAACTCGCTCTATAAAATAGGCCTCTACTTTATTCTACTCATATTCATGTGCGCTTTCTGACTAAAATGCAATCATTAGGTTAACCCTAAACCTATTTAAGCTATGTTGGTTGAATATTAATGCACAAACAAAACTATTATTGGCGATTACTTGAATTAAAATCATATTAGCCTAAACAAAATTATTAATTATCTTCTTAAGCGTGATTTCAAGTACAAATTCTCTTTAAACATGCATAAAAGGTGTGATCAAGCAATAACAATAATATATATCAAACAACATGATAAGAACGATAATTATAACAATCATTATAATCATAACAATAAAGCATAATAACAATAGCAAGATCCTAGGCATAATACTAATAAGATTAATAACAAACCCTAGCATGTCACTAGGCAATAAAGATCAAAGCTTTAGCCTTGACATGATACTAACATGCTATTAGAAAAGGGTAAAAGCAACCTAAATTTGATACTCAAAAGCAATAAAAACATCCTAACATGATACTAGGAATTAAACAAATCCAAACATGCTTTCTACATCGAAATAATAGAGAAGTTATTCAAATCACTTACTTTGAAGCCTCGTACCTCTTTCTAATAACAAAATACACGCGTTAATAAACTTCAATAAAATAATAAAATCAAAAAATTACATTAAATAATTGAAAGAAAGAGTTAAAAAGTTTAGACTGAATTTGGGACCAAAACCTCAGAAATTATCAACCTTTCACGTCTAGAGCGAAGGCAACTTCGAACTTGGCTAGGTGTGTCTAGATCTAATGAGTGCGTAATTGTGTTTGTAAAAGGGTTGGTTTAGAAAGAGAGAGAAAGAATAAGCTATATTGCTCAAGAGAGAAGAGAGAGAATTAGGTGATTGTTGATGGTTGTGGATTGATGATTGAAAACGGAGGTCCAAGGACCCTATTTATAAGAAAATAGCCCGGATACTGATAGAAAAGAGTCAGAATTTGAATCGGAATAAAATTGGTTCTGTCACGCGCGACAGAGCCTGGTCTGTCGCCTGGCGACAAGTCTGTCGTTTGGCGTTGTAATAGTTTGTTGCAGATTTTGTTTATCATATCTTTTGATCCAGAAGTCCAAATAAGGCATATAATATGTCTTTGGAAAGCTATTGAAGTCTATTTTCCAACCCAATTGGAATCAGAATAAAATCTTTTGTAGACAAAAGGAAAAATAGTGGAAGAATGTCAGTTTTAG